TCCAACAGGGCGTCATCGTTGTATTGGGGAAAATTTTGCTTATGTTCAAATTAAGACAATTTGGTCTACTATGCTCCGTTTATATGAATTTGATCTCATTGATGGGTATTTCCCCACTGTGAATTATACAACCATGATTCACACCCCTGAAAACCCAGTAATCCGTTACAAACGAAGATCAAAATGAAAAAGGCTGCAGGGAACTAACATGTAACACATCACTGTAAAGATGCAGAGGCATTTGAAGAGAATGAAGTTCATGAAACAACACTGTAATGTTTTCTTGAGTGTGTAATTGTAAAAGCCAGTAGAATTTGAAGATTTCTTAACTGAATGATACTGTTAAATCTAATGGAACATTTTTCTAACAATTTTGATACTATGTACTTTAAGGATGTTATGTTCATTAATAAAAAAAAAAATTAGGGGATCTAGGTAACTGACAGGTTTTAAATGATAGTTTCCAGGTACCAGTTTTAAAAGTACAAATAGCTCTTAGTATAAAAGTCTAGTGAAATACTTCAAAAGGCTATTCTATTCATTTACCTGGGGTATTTTTTTTTGTGTATAAAGATAGAGTGGGAGGGAATAAAGTGACATTTAAAGCCTTAGGTATGGGAGTAGTCTGTTGTTTTGATGTGATAATACTCAGCAGTGATGGAGCTTTGCTATAGAAAAATGTGTCCTTGGAAAATTTTACTTGAAGCCTCACTATATGAAAATGAGAGCTCTAGGGACATGCCTTGATATAATCATATTTCCTAAAAACAATACATTAATACTTAATAGTGCTTATATGTAATAAATATGTATCTGGTTCCACAAGACCATCTTTGTGTCAAATTCCAAAATCAAATCCTTAGGGAATTTTGTTTTTATTATTTAACTCAATGTTGTTTCCTTCACTGTCTCCAGAACACAACTAGGGTTTTATTACAAATTCTTTTGAACAGAACTAAGATCAAAGTCCAGCTTGAAGATAAGGTAATATGAAGCAGGGTCCTTGGGAGATGGTATTACTGATCATTTTTTGTGTTCAGGAATTGACCTAACTCACAATGTTACTGGAGCCTAACTATATGAGCCATCTGTCATCTGTTACTACTAGATAAACTATTTTTTCTTGCTGGGTCTGGTGGCCCACATCTTAGCCCAACATTTGGGAGGTTGAGGCAGAAAGATCATGAGTTTGAGGCCTGCCTGAGCTACACAGCTAGACTCTGCCTCGAGGAGTTTCGTTTTCCTCTCATATATGTTACAGTTCTGTTTGAGGCTAGAAGATTCATGTTAAAACTAATTGTGAAGGCCATTATTTCTGCTGTTACATAACATTTCACATTAAAACCACCTTGAGAAAAACGCCTTGTATTCATGAATCTGTAGTGTTTACTTCATTGAATAGCGTTCAGGGCAGACACATGGATGGAGAAAATTACATCTTCATTTGCACTAACTTCTAATTGTAATATAGTATTTCCTTCATTTATAAACTGAGGTAACAAATCACTATCTTAGTGTAGTGCCTTGGGAGTCTGTCAGTTGAAATCACAGCTATTTTCACAACAAATTATAGATGATACAGATTTCTTGAAGTATCTTTTGCTCTTATCACTATGTTGAAGTTTATGTAGTTATATTGCCCACTGCTAGATTATATTTAATGTTTCCATTATAAGTATATTAAGTTTTTAAAAAGTTGACTGTAGTTTACTTGCCATTATTTTGAGGTGGGATCTTTATTCTTACTAGAGATCTAGAGATATTTGTTGCACAAAAAACATCCGGATTCTGAAAAAGTCTGGTTTAGTGAATTCACTTTCAATGGATTTTTTTTAAGTGCTAAGAGCTTAGATCTTATGCATGCTAGGCAAGTGCTAGACTTCAAAAGATTCAGGCTTTGTACATTAATTGTTAGTACACATAAATAGCAGTGATTGCAGAGACCCACCAGAAGAAAGCTTGATGCCCACCAGCTTTTGTTCTGGCTCGATAGCAGGACAGCCTTGAATGGCAACCATGTTTGCTATTAAAAGGGTTCTGTCTGTAACTGCTCCTTAAGCTGTTTTAGAACACCTTTGCTATTTCTAGGATTCCTCTTACTGGAGACTAGATGCTGCTATAAGCTGGGCTCACGCCTATAACCCTAGCTACTCAGGAGGCTAAGATCCGAGGATCCCAGTTTAAACCAGCCCAGGCAGGAAAGACCATGAGACTCTTATCTCCAACAAAACACAGAAGTGGCACTGTGGCTCAAGTGGTAGAGCACTAGTCTTGAGCTGAAGAGCTGAGAGACAGCGCCCAGGCCCAGAATTCAAGCCCCACAACTGACCAAAGAAGAAGAACAAAGAAGAAGAGGAGGAAGAGGAAGAAGGAAGAAAGAAATTTAAGTACTTACAATTTTCAAGAATGTACAACTTGTCACCAGGCCTACTCTGTTGTTACAAACCACAGAACATTGAGTAAGAGAAAAAAGCCTCTAAATGTCAGGAGTAAACGTTATTGATGTTTTTAGGAACGACTAGACAAAAAGTAGTGCTTGTCTGGAGGGTTACTTGAGAGGCAGAGATTGGGAAAGTCACAGTTTGAGGGCAGTTTGGGCAACAGTTCGTGATACCTCATTTCAACCAATGTCTGAGTGTGGTGGTACACATCAGTCATCCCAGCTACATAGAAATGTAAGGTTGGTGATCTAGGATAAAGTGTGGGCCTTATCTGAAAAATAAGCAAGATCAAAAGTGCTAGAGTCGTGGCTGAAAGAGTACAGCATCTGCCTTGCAACCATGAAGCCTGGACTTCATTCCCTGAGCTGGGAATGTGGCTTAGTGCTAGAGCGCTTGCTTTGCATGTATGAAGCCCTGGGTTCACTTGCTCAGTACCACATAAACAGACAAAACCAGAAGGGGTGCCAGGGTTCAAGTGGTAGTGTGCTGGCCTTGAGCAAAAGAAACTCAGGAACAGTGTGTAGGCCCTGAGTTCAAGCCCCATGACTGGAAAAATAAGTAAATAACTGTTCCTCTTTCCCAAACTGTATTATCTCTGTGAGAGCTTCCCAATCTCAACTTGGTTGGAGAACAGGAGTCCTGTTTTGAACTTGCTGCATTGTGATTAATAAAACCTTCAGATTCTTTCAGCTAAAAGATTCCTGTGTCTTAGTGGATCACAGATTTGTGAGAATACATCTTTGGATATACGTAATAAAAGCAAATATAGATTAATTATGGAAATAGCACATATCTGCAGCTCAGAAGTTGAGACAAAGGCACATGAAAAACTTTCTTCACTATGGGATAGAAAAGCCCTAACATAGCATCCAACAAACTTCTGAATCCCAAATGAGATAAGTAACAGGATGATATGCACCTATTACAGCTTTGCTGAAAAGGAAGACAGATCAAATACAGTGTGGTGAAAATGGTGAAGTCATTTTTATTTCAGTACTTGACAAAATACCCCATAAAATTCAAAACTTCTACCGTTATACAAAAATAAGTCTCTACAAGTGATAAGTTCTGTCCTCATCACCGGTAGCAAATCTATTAGGCAGAAACATGTAACTTCAGTAGCCTTGTAAGAAAAGTGCAGGACACCGCAAGCTACACATTCAGCAGTATCGTAATTTGCAAAAGTTTGATCTGTTCACCCATTTGATAAATACA